AACTACCAGACTCCTTAACTCTGAGTAAACTCTGTTCCAGAATAATTGTCTCTGAATGGGCAAACACCAGGCAAAATTTGAAACACCTATTTATCCAAGGCCAGATGCATGCTAAAATAAGTCTTTCTCAATACAACATACAATATTTCGAATCAACCTTGCACTCAGTATACATTTTACTTTGGTTACATGGGAGAAAGCAAAAGAATGGCGTACACCAACCTAGGACTTCCATGTTAAGTTCTCCCAGAGAGTAGAAAAGAGTGGACTTTACTGCTATTACTTTTTTGTATACATATGATTTAGTTATTCCAATAAAAAATATTTAATTCTTGCATAGGAACTTTCAATAAAGTTAGTTAAAACTGCTTGAAGAAAAAAAAAACCCTCATTAGACAAACCCTCACAAGCAAATAAATAACTAGTTAAAGCTTTAAAAATTAATGAACATAATAAAAAAATAGCACAATGCCTTATCCTTCCACATTTAATATATTATTCTTTTTTCTTTTAGTACTCTTCAAGTCTGATCTAGTTTGCATTTTAAAATGGTCACAAGCTTGGAGAATGTAGGAGGGGAACAGTACATATGCTTGCCCTGGTCTTCGCTCTTTCCTAAGCATCCACTTTGGCCACTGCTAGACAGTTGACATTTGATCTGACTCACATCCACCATTTTTACATCCTTGTGTTCCTAGAGGACAGCTGAAATTACTGAGCACAGAATGCCTCCATTCCCAGTAACGGCCTGTTTCCTAGACTGTATAAGGTTGCAATTCAACTTCTTCCTCCTTTACCACAAAAAACAAGGAAAAAAAAGTTAGCAAAAGGTAGTATTTACCTCTCCACGTTGAGCTTCTTGTATTCTGGTAAATCTGAGGTCAGCATGTTCCCAGTTTGCATTTACACTATATATTCTCAGCTGGGAAAGTTCAAATGAAGCATTAAAGGCTTTTGCGCCAATCCTTATTATAATGGAGTTCACAGAAACTGAAATGCCTTCTACCACTTTTTCAGCAAAGCCATATTCACTAAAAAGTGAAATGCCAACATATTAAATACACAACTAATGAAAGGGCACAAAATTAAACTCATTAAACAGCTGAAATACAACATAAAAGAAACCATACAATAAGTTCTTAATGTATTCTCCAGTTATGAATTTTTGTTAAATATACTTCATCTAGTTTACAGTAATTTCCACCCTATGATCCTAATCCCAAATAGTCATTAGAGAACATGTTTTGGACCAAGATCAACCTCCATGAAGCATAACAATTAATGCAACTTTTTCCATCATGAATATTTTCTAGATATATATAAATGTATAAAAAATAAAATACATAAGTCTACAGCATTACGTAGAAATCTTACTCTTCTTTATGTATACATAAGGAGTAATTCATGTCAAATGAATTATTTGACAATTCCATCTGGTTAGTATTTATGTCTATAAGCTAAGTTATTCTGCCCATTAAAACTAATATATTTCATATATGCAAAACAGTATAAAGTATTTGCTTTGTTTCATTCTATTAAAGAAAGGCATCCTAAATGGTGGTTACATTTCTACACTAAATCAACATGCATTCCAGTATTAAAAAAGATAAAGCAGCTGCAATTAATTTTTATTAAAAGTCATGCGTTATGAATATTTTAGATTAGTGAATGGAAAATTGTATTTTAAATATTCTTTTAACATCTAGAATTTTTTTGCCTTTGGGATATTTTTCCTGCTTGTTTTAAAACCAGTTTATGTGGTTTGTCATTCCTTTTCCTTTTTATAACTTTCATCCTACATAGAATCTCTATGGCAATGATTTTCAAGCTGTACCCTAGGAGACATAGAGGCCCATGGACGACCATTACATATTACACAGAAGTTAAAATAAGAAAAGCAACTACATCATCAAATTCGTTTCTCTGCATATGGGTCCCTATGCCCACTGAAAAATGTTTTGGGTCCATAAAAAGGAAATGAGTTGGGCGGGGGATAGAAATCACTGATGTAATGCTATATTGTCCCACTAACTTACTTAACTTTTGGGCTACATAGTGTGCATGAAATCTTTCAGTAAGATTTGGCTGATAAAATAGAGGAAATAGAACTTTAAAACACACCACACTAACAAATCGCCCTTAATGCTGTTTTTTAGGCCAAACAAAAGAACAATAAAAATTCTAAAAAACCCACCCCAACATTATATATATTTTCCAAATAGGTTGAAGGCAAAGTATCTTTAATTTTCAAAAAAATTAACATCAATTAAACTTGCTAAATTTGTGATGCAGTAGTTGCACCCATATGAAACATGCCTAGGAAGCTCCATACATAGTTCAGACGTTCTTTCCAGGCTTGGGTCTGGATAGTTCCGTTATCACTATATGTATGTAAGTCCACCCACAAGTAATAAAATAAAATTTTGGAGAGATGGAAATGGCAAGCTGCAACCCTATATACTTCTGGAAATATGCAGGGGATCTAACTGTTTCATAGTAATTCAAAATGAGTCATTTAGACTTTTTTGGATCAATTACATGTAAGTATTATCACTGACCTCTGTCCAGATGCAGTTGCTATAGGAGAGGGTCCATTAGGGGCACGTGGCTCTTCACATGTGCTCATTTCCATTACAACTTTATCCAAGGACTTGAAAAACAAAACAAAACAAAACATTGGAGACCTGAGAGGTAACAAAGTAAACAGATGACATACTAAGAACAAAAAAACATCCAACCAACCAAAAAAACCAAAAAAACCCCCACCAATCAAAATCACTTGGGAACTTTTTCTGAAATGTACACAAAACAGTTCTTACCATGTCAATTTTCCCAAAAACTTTTGTACTGTACCAGAATTATCTTTTTTTTTAATTTGTTCATAAACTCTCTGCTTTGGATTTATTTATACTTCACTATATTTTGATGCTTAAAGGGAAGCGTTAGGTGTTTAACAGTAAATATGGACATTTTTAAATTATCTTCTCAGCTGTCTCAATGAATAACTTGCCTTGCAAAACAACAACAGAGGAAAAAACAACAAAAAAACCCTAATCCCTTAGTTTGAGGATGGTGGGGGGCACAGGGAAGCCAAGATTTCTCCTGGTTATCCTACCATTTTTAGATGTTTGACCACTCTTTCAAGGTTTCTTAAATTAAGACCTTGGGAATAATTTACTTCACTACATGACTAGCACAAAGAACAGTAGGACAGTGATTTAAAGACTTTGTGCAATATAAATAGGAGTTAACAAAGAACACCTGGATGTAGATATCCATGTATTCTTTTCTGACTGGCAACTACTGTACTTTGATAGAGGAAAACTTGCTGCATAGCATTCCTGGGTCCCCAAAGCACTCCTCAAAATTATACTGTTTATCATACAGAAACAGAAATGGATTATGAGCAAAGATAACTTAGTATTTGCCATTATGTTAACAGATGGATTTTCACAAAGAGCAGCTCAGCTCAATAAAAGTACTTCTGGTCAGACAAGTGGCTTCTAGTTATGCAAAGCTATGCAAACAGCTAGCTTCAAGCTATGCAAACAGAGGATGCTATTCCAATTTAATCTAACTCTCAGTAGCAAAAATATCCCCACCAAAATAGTGAAAGTTCAGTGATGTAATAAAGGGCTGGACATTTAGGCCATTGAATTCACCTTGCTTTAGAAGTCAAAAAGGCTGTTGTACAGTCTACCATTGAAGAGTGAACTTTTGTTATCAATTTGATGTACTTGTTCAACAAAAGCTTTATGTAAAAAAGGTGACCTTGAAAGTTATCTTAGCCCTAAATATTGCTAATGTAAGTTCAACAGGAGCAAAGCAAACAATCAGGCCTTGCTACTGTAGGTCAAAGTATGTAATCATTAAGAATAGCACAGCTTAAACTGATTTCCTAATTTGGTAGTTGCATCTTACAGTCAAGAGGTTGAATCATCCCACCTCAGCATTACCACACTTTAAGCTCTGTGTGTCAGGAAGAAGCAGTCCAGACATTAGTACATTACAACTGGGTCACTGGCAAATGCATCAATTATTTAAAACAACATGTCTTTCCCAAGTCTGATTCAGAACTAAGGAATTACAAGCACATTCAGAATTCAATGCAAGACTAGGAAGCACAACAGTTAAAGGAATATTCATTTCTAAGTAAACACAATTAAGAATGTTTAGCCATCATCAAGCAAATCACTTCCAGTGCTACCAGATTTCTTAGTATACTTAAAAATAAAGAACAGAATTAAAGAAATGCAAGAATTAGCATTACTTCTAATTGTTGTTGAGTCCTATTTACACATTTTACATCTTATTTATATCCAGGCTGAACCCTAGGCTGTTACAGAAACCCTGTAAATGTTATGTGTATCAAACCTGCTGTAACTGAGATCACTGAGTAGAGAACATATGTAGAATGGAAAAGTCCTTAGAAAAGATAGCTCCAAGAGACAGGCAGGAACTTGTAAAAGGGTTAGTTGGACAAAGAACTACCCTTCAGGTGAACCCAAATTAAGATGTAATGACTGAAGAACTCGACAGAAATTAGCTAACAGTCAAGCATTGTAGTGATGATGCCCAAAGCCATAGATTAAGAAAACAAACCTACCAACAAAAACACTAAAGCATTTTGTCCTGATCTGCCGCTACCCAGAGGACTCTTAGTAAAGGCCCATTAATGTTTCAGTTATTTCTACAGTCAAGTCAAGAGAACTATATAAATATTTGACATAAATTCTGCTACACAGAGTATATTTAGTTGATATCAGAACTCACCAAAGAGATGGGATGTGTTTTCAATTTTGTCCATGGTATCTGCAAGACAAAACACAATTCTAAAGCAAAGTAAATATTAAAAATACAGTAAAAGAAAGCTTTTTTTTTTTAGAATGTGTTTTATGTATACAAATTATATTTGTAACTCCTGAACTCAGAATAATATTACTTTCAAAATATCAAGTTTATCTGTATAGTAAATTTATGCACACACATAAATTTATTTTAGGTGTTAAAAACAGAACTTCAAAATCTTACTCATCACTGAGCAGAAAACAGAGGAACAAAATAGAATCTGTCTCTTTAATACTGAGTTGTCAAGCATCAGAAAAAGCAACACTGCCTTCCACATTCTTTCCTTTAAAAGGAAAGAAAATCCACATTTGCTCTGTTGGCCTACAAGTAATTGGATGCCTGCAACAAAGCATCAAGTTCACTGCATTCAGAAAAATCAGGACAATCTCCCATTGGAGGCAGGGGGAGGGAAAAAAAAACAAAAGACTGAAGAGGTGCCAAAGTCTGACCAGATCGTAACTTCTGTCAAAAACAAGCCATAGCTTCATTTCTTACTCTCATATTGGTACAACCTAGGAGAGATGATACACATTGCTTCAATTCTTAGCAGACACAAGGACCAAAAAAGCAATGTCTACCAGATTTAGAGTGTTTCCGCATTTCCCACAGAGACCAGAATCCCTCAGAAAGATATTTTTGGAAATAAGAAAGAAACAAGAGGGAAAGCAATAGAAAGAGAGGGATAAAGAGAAAAAATAACACATAAAAAAGACAATAATAAATAACTACAGCAGACTAATTACCATGGGCAAATACAAGCTTTTACCTCTACCCCTATTTCAGAACATACAGGAATAAATTCTACTCAGAAAGAAAAAAAAAAATTAAAACCACACTGCTTTTTTTCCATCATTTCCATATCTATTTCATGTCATTGCATGAGAAACAAAGATTAGTAAGAAATTATTGCTGATAACATCTTTGTTTTTCTCTAAAATTTTATCAAGTACTCATCACAATTTTCTATTAATACAAAGTTGCTTGAAAGTTTCAAGAGACAGAAGGAAAAAAAGAAAGCTTTGGCTAACTGCCATTCCGGCACAATAAAATACTCACCCTAATGGATGCTTTATTGCAAAAGACCTTGTTTATAGCAAGCCATGTTGGAAGATCCAGCATGTTCTGAAGCACCTCTTGATCCAGCTCTAAATTGGTCAGCTGACCTTCCCCCTTTAACGTGCTCAGGTTGATCTTGTCAGGCGACAGATTTTTGGTGAACCTAAAACCAAACATGCACCTTAAGTAAATGCATATAAAGCAATCAGAGCTGTCCCACATATAGCTGACAATTTAACTTAAAGCAATGGTCTGGGGGTGAGGAAATCATCTTATGTTCTTAGGTACAATTTCACCCTGAAAAGAAATGGTACCATAGAATTGCTTTGTCCTTCTAAATTTTTGCATCTCATTATCTCCATTTAAAAATACATAAACAAAATTAAGTACATTATGAGGTATCTTCTAATTTGTCCATCACCCAGGATAACAAATCCTTGATTAAAAGTATTTAACTATTTCTTCAAACTATATAAGGTAGAAGTGAATCTATTTCACTCTTCTTTAGTTTTTCAAAAGGAAAAAAAAAAATCCAAAACCTCTACAACTTACTGTCATTCTTAGAGCAAGCAGGAGTGGCTTAGAATTCACTCAGGAGGAGTAACAAAAAGCTACTCCTTACAAATAATACCGTCCTACATATATTTACAGTTAAAATCTTGAAAAGTTTTATTTACAATGTTCATTACGGTTAATCATAGAATTTTATAACATAAATTAGAAATATACATACACACATATTTACACACCAATAGCAACGTGGTGCGTATAAAATATCGGATGAAAACTTGAAAGGTCAATGTGATATACAAGGGCTAAAAAATGTAACTATTTAAAAGAATACATACGCAATAAATTTCATTATACTTCAAAGGTGCTATGATTTGCTGATACAATAGAACAATCTATGTGACTATCAAATGGTTCACATCCTTGTGAGATACCATGACAAAAATCATGGGTGCTCTACCCTCAGATCAACAGCTGTAGCATTATATCTACCACAAGCTGAAGAATAGGCCACACTTGCATTCTGCCATGGAAAATTGTTTCTGCTCATGAAATGGGTCTGATTTTACAGGATTAGGTAGTAGAAAATACTACTGTTTGCATTACGCTTTGTGACTTTTCCCACTGAAATCTCCCCGTGCTGATATTCTTCAGGCAGAGAGCAAAGGGGTTTCTCTGTCCACAACGATGGAACGTCGCCCTGAAGCAATGCCCCAAGAGGTGCAACTCCGACATTTCCTTCCCATTCAAGAGACCAATTTCTAACCAAACTACGAGGTCCTTATTAAGTTGGATACTCAGGGGGAGATGGTGGAAGAAGGTGAAGAAGGCTGGCAAGCTTTTCCTCTTAAGAGTTTCCAAGTGTGGCTGGAAACATGGCAGGCATTTCCTCAGTCCAATTGCTTTACTGCATTCTTGTGATTGTAAGCTTTGGAAATGCATTTACCTAGCCTGACAAACTGCAAACATCCATTTTACCACTCCTATGAAACATTCAGACAGACATCACAAACTTAGAAGTTTCATCACCTATCAGTTTAATCAAGAAGAGGAACTCTCAAAGATCAAGACAACTGGGGGTGGGGGGTGCACAGGGAACAAAGCTTGTTCAGAATTAAAAGTTCAGTTAAATTTTTAATTTTTTTTTTTTACTATACTGTCCTGGTTTCAGCTGGGATAGAGTTAGGTTGTTTCCTAGTAGCAGGCATAGTGCTGTGGTTTGGATTTAGGATGAGAATATGCTGATAACACACTGATGTTTTAGTTGTTGCTAAGTAGTGCTTATGCTAGTCAAGGACTTTTCAGTTTCCCATGCTCTGCCAGGTGCACAAGAAGCTGGGAGGGGGCACAGCCAGGACAGCTGACCCAAACTGGCCAAAGGGCTATCCTATACCATATGACATCATGCTCAGTATAGAAACTGGGGGGAGTTGGCCAGGGAGCAGCAATCACTGCTCAGGGACCGCCTGGGCATCGGTCAGCGGGTGGTGAGCAATTGCACTGCGCTTCACTTGTTTTGTATATTGTTTTATCATTATTATTTTTACTTTCTCTTCCTCTGCTGTCCTATGAAACTGTCTTTATCTCAACCTGCAGGTTTTACTTTTTTTCTCTACTCCCCCCCATCCCATTGCGGGGCGGGGAGAGGGGGGAACAAGCAGCTGTGTGGTGCTCAGTTGCCAACTGGGATTAAACCACAACATAATACCAAGTCTGAAATTATTCAGGATGTATTGTCAAATAATACTAGACACATTTCTTATGACAGAAGTGTTGCAGCTGTTTCTGTATTGCTTATAAGGCATAAAGTATCCAGAAGGAATTTCTAGATGCTCCATTTAGAAACATTATGAGGGAACTAGAGGACTTAAAATTAATTAATTTTCTGGTTTCCCTTCTTTGTTCCTTTTAACAAGAAAGGGTAATGAGAAGAACTCAATAACCTGCCTCAGTAAAACATCCCCATCAGTAATTGCAAAATATAAAGCCTCCTGTCTCAGAAAACATATTGACAAGTCTCAGCTGACTCGGCTAATTCAAATTCCTAGAAGAAAAAAAGCAGCTATTGAATGTTTTCAGTCACATCACAGTATCTCTCACTCTTGACTCTCTAGATAAGGGTCAACCTAAGAATCACAAATTGGTGTTATTTTAAAGTCACATTTGTACAGCGAATGCCAAAACAATCTGCCATTACACACACACACTCACAGAGCCTCCTGAGACTCATGTTCTGTGGAAGAAGTCCCTCTCAGGGTTCCCCTATGCCACACCAGAAATGTTGCTCAACTTGGAGACAGATCTAACCACCATCTTGATCTCAATTGCAGACACATCACAATGAAACCCAGAGGACCTACAGGAACAGGTTTTTAAAATTCACAGCGAGAAAGACACTAAAATACCATTAAGGAGGAGAATGGAGACAGCAAAGCCAATCTTGAGTTACTTCGAACATCCTTCAAAGAGGCAAAATAGGAGCTAGTCCCTCCCAACAAGGAGGAGGACAAGGAAAGCAATCTCAACAAGGAGCATCAATTTCCCCCCCATTTCTACATATCTTTTTTTTAATTCTTCTGAGAGTGTTGCTTTGAATTTGTTACCTCTCCTGCAGTCAGCAAAAGGAAAAATGCTCTGAGTGCTGCTTCATTTAGCACAGACCTACGTAAGAGGACCTCCACCTGTAAGACTACACCCTTCATTTCAAGAGTCACAGAAAGAAATTTAACAGGTGAGTTATGAGAAGGTATTTCAGGTGTAGGCACCTCTAGCAGCGCATCTCTTCATTCCACTTCCACAGCTGGAATGTGACTGATGAGTGGATGCAGAGGAGACTGTGGTATTTCCCCAAACCCCACAGTAACTTCATAAGATACAAGCACCACATCTGCTTTGTCTAGAGCAAGTTTTCCGCTGAGGATGCCAACATTTCACGTTTCTGTGCCAGTTCCCTGCTCCTTCTAAACTCAGTTGTTCCACAGAATATGCTTTTATTTGTCTGTTGGATATTTTCAGCACTTTAGAACCATTTCATACTACTCAATATAACAGGAAAACCTTTTAGTTTCATACAGTGGCCTCTAACTTAAAAAATAAAAAATTACAAGTTGGCCTATTTGGTCAGCTAGCCCTGCAGAACACAATGTGATCATACCCATTAGTTAGAATTCACAAGAATTCAGATCTTCATGCATGAAATTAAAAGAAGAGCCAAACAACAAGAACAGCAGCATTTTGAATTAAAAATTTAAAAAAGCCTTAGGGCAACCACAACTCTCCAAATGGTACTGTTCTAGGATCCTGTGGTACATCAAACCAGGACATGCCCTACTGAGCCAGAGTGCTTTGACTTTTCTTTCTGGGGTGCTTTGCACTCAGTCAACAGACACTCAGGGAGAAGATGTACCACAGACACACTGATGTGTGCCTAGTCCAAGTTCTAGTGAACCTGCCATGAGTTGGTATAATCATCACTGACAAAATTGTTACCCAGATAACATCTGCAATTTAATATTCTAATACTATTAACTTTTAATTCTATTATTAAATTAAAAGTTAATATTATTCCAAATATTCTGGTGTTGGAAACATTTTCTAATATTTATTGCCAGGCAAAATCTAAGAAGGAGGCAGCATGGCTTTGGAGGTTGGCAAGTTATCTCTATATCTAAAGAACTACTGTGTCCTCTTAGTCAGTTCTGTAACCTGGAACGCTTAATTGCTTGAACTTTGAGAACTTATTAGGCTATTATATTTGTATTACACTTTTTATGTAAAGCAGAGGGGTACTTCACATAACGTTAGGGCAGAATCATCTAATTCTGAATATGTAGTAATTGGAAATCTTTGATCGTGCCATGATGTTTCACGATCAGAAGTCTTTGGGGAAAACCATTTAAAAATTCTCTGTGAGCTTTTCTTATAACTACTCAGAACTAACAATGTCACCAACTTCATGACATGCATGCATTCTTCTCTCTGACTTGGCACAAGCAAACAGCTCCCCCCCAGCTGGCCATTTGTTTTTCATCCCAGTGTTCATTCCTTAGAACGAGTTAATTAGTCCTTTAAAAAATGGGTCAAACTGGGAGCAGAGGCCTCGACAACAGGGCTGTTTCCCTGCACAACATCCCCTGAACTCCTGACTGATGGTTCTTTTCTAGGAAACAGACCAAGTGTTAATACCCACTACTCAGTACAAGAAGTGAATAAAGCAGAACAGAAAAAAGTAAAAGCAAAGGGCAAGAGGAACAGAAGTAAAGGACATGGTTAAGTTCACCAAAGATTTCTGTTACACTGTTTTGCTGTAGCAGCAAGACATCACTGTTATTGAGGTAAATACACACTTGGTTTGCTAAAACCACAAGATATTCTTAGCAAAACGGTTTTCATGGATTTAGTTTCAATGTCACAAACCACCCTTCCTTTCTCAAAAATACAATCTGAGGTTTGAATTACTATATCTGATAGCATGAATTTCAATTAAGTTTTAATATTCAATTCTATAAGGTAGATTAGTGCTATAAAATATTTTACACTTTAAATGCAAGAATACAGAAATATGAAGTTATCAATATCCCAAGCAGCCTGACACAGCTCCCTCGGGTACATATATACACACACACGCACTAAATATTACTATGCAGTTAGACA